GAACCCGATATTGGTATGCTTTGCCCCCGAAAGTAAACCTCAGGAACCTCCTGTGACATGGAAGGATGCAGACATGAAAAATAGACAACTTTTAGATCTTCAGAAGCCTTAGATCTAAAATTGGCCTAAGTCCGCCATTCTTCTTTGAAACTATAAAGTACCGGCTGTAAAACCTGGACTCCCTGTCTGGTAAGGGAACACTTTCTATGGCCCCTTAATTTCAGTAGAGTCTGCACCTCTTGTTCCATAACCCGAGCCTGTTCTGGAACCACTGCAGTCAGTACGAACCCAACAAACTTGGGAGGTCGGTGACCGAACTGCAATCTGTACCCATATTCAAAAATATTCAGGGCCCATATAGATGTATTCGAAAGGGAACCAGCCCCTTGAGACCGGCCTCGGGTGTTTTTCGAGCACTACTAGATTTTGTGACCATAGTCGGTGCCCGGTTGCGAGCTCTTCGGGCAAACGCCACGGTGTGCGTTTGTTGGAAATCTATATAGTACACTACATTAGGACCTCTTTCCCGAAGCCCTCTTTGCCTGATGGACGACCCTCAGGTCACCCTTCTGGCTGGAAGACTTCGGTTGAGAGCGCTTTCTCTGTTGCCAGGCTCCCACAGGAGGGGCTCTAGAGGCAACGCTCTCCTACTGCTCTTGCCGATGGGAGGAGCTGATTGACGGCTGAGATACTGTTGGAACGCCGTTGACTTTTTTTTTTTTTTTGACTTCCAAAAACCTGATGACGACTCAGAGAACGGGCCAGAAAGTGATAGCGGAGCTATCTCTCTTTTATACCAGACAGATTTAGCCACAGATGTCTCTCCAAAGCCACCATAGCTGCTACATAGAGCTATGGCACTTGTACTGTCCTCCAATTGGTGTTCTTAACCAAGATTAGACAGCCAGCCAAACTCCCAGTCTGAATGTAGCTTCTTAGCTCCGTTTAATACAGACTCTTGTTGAGCATGAAGAGATGAACAAAGGAGTAAAACTGAAAATAAGCACAAAATATACAGTAAGGTAAAGTTGTCTCTTGTCTCTCGTACAAATGCCAACAAAGCTTAATTACAATGAACTGTAATGTCTCAGTAAACAATGTTCACGGATTGAAATCAAAGATTTACACTCATGGTTTTAAATCAACATGAAATCGTCACAACTCTATTATTAGAAATAGTGTAAAGCAGAAAATATATAAACTACTTACAGGCAGTTCTTGCTAAGGAGAAATCTAAACATAACAGAGGACAGTTGCAGCTGGAACGATCTTCACCATGTGCTTTGACTAATAAACTAACTTCCTGATTCAGCCTGCAATACCATACTTGACCGCTAGAGGTCCTATTTACTCTAACAAGGACAATACCCAAAGGGCCCCACATAGCAAACAGACTTGGCCCAAATGTGGCCTCATCATGGCACTGCTGGCGTGTTGCCGGCAATGGCATGCATCATGTCAGCCAACTGTGGGCCAAGTGTGGCAATGATGGCACTGCGTGCATGACGGCAGACAACTTCTGGGCCGATTGTGGATGGGAGGTGTGTGGCCCACATCTTGTCAGCCAACTGTGGGCCAAGTGTGGCAATGATGGCAGTGCATGACGGCAGACAACTTTTGGGCCGATTGTGGATGGGAGGTATGTGGCCCAGATCAGTGTAGCGATTGTGGGCCATATTCTGTGTACTGGACAATTATAAGCCTGCTACTATATTTTCAAGGCAAGATTATACCCCACCCCGACCCCTCTGAAAAAGGTGTTAAGATTTTAATAATAATAATATAAATTGACTTAAATGAGTCAGTGAAAAAATATCTGTCCAATTGTTTAAAAAATGATTAATAATGAATAAATATAGTATTTAGTTTTCAGCAATGTTTACAAAATGCTGTATCATTAAAAAATATACATTTACTAACATGATAAGTATTAGACCTATGATTTTTTTAAGTATTAAACTTACTAAAAAAACTTAAAAAAGTATTAAAATTATTTATTTGAATTTGTTTTTTTTTTATAAATTTGTAATAAAATAAAAAAAAATCCACATCCAAGTCTAAGTTTTCCATACTTTTTATTTTAAGCACCACAAAATCATGTTAAAAATTTAATATCTGGATTTTTTTTTTTTTTTTTTCGAAATAACAGTTTATTTAAAACAGCAGTCAACTATTGTTTTATTTCGGCGCGATTTCCATGGTAACAGCAGCTTTTCTGGTTGGTTCACGTGATGCGTCTTTTGAAATTTCTCCCGCTGAAGATTGAAGAAGAAGACGACATCTCAGACAACCGCTGTACGGGTAAGTGAAGTTCACTCTCTTTTTGGCGCTTTTTTAATACCTGATTTCAAACTCGGATGCCACTTTTTTCTTTATTGAAGTGAACTTTTGCCTGGTAGCTGATTCAGTTGCCCCTGAACATGAGAATGCCTATACAGACGCGAACGGGGTGCTATCATGTGCGATAGACCGGTGCGGAACGTCCTAGGCGAGGCCTGTGCTTCATGTGTGCGAAACAATGTAATGTTAATGCTTTTAAAATTATAGGAAGATCACAGCAAATCCAGCAACCGCAATTGACTTATAAAGCTGAAAGTGATTCAGTGGTTGTATAATTGTATGATATCTAAATCTAATCGTGGCGTTTCACATGAAAAGTACATGTTTTTTTATTTGTGATCACAGACTGCTTATTTATTTTTGCTTGTCATGTATTGCTAGTCATTTCAGTATGCTATATTCGTAGGCGATTGAGAGAAAATAATAATACTGTACTATTAAAATATCTACATTGAAAGAATGAAATTGATCACATAATTTTTATATAATACATAATTACATAATTTTTTTTTCATAATTTTTTTGTCTAAAACAATAGTTCTCAACCTGGGTAATGTTTAGAGGTTAATTTAAATGCAATAAACAATTGGCAACTTTTCAATTTGCTAACCATTGACGCATGGCAATGTTTTTCTTCCAACATATTGGGCATTATAAGGAATGAACGACTCTATAAAGTTGTCTTTTTCCCCTCCTTTCATATTGTTTAATTATTGATGATATGTAAGTTGCTCCCCCATTCCTGTCTGTTTGTTTGAGTGGATGTTATTTTATTTCTAAAGACTATAAGGAGTTGAAACTCTGGCCTAAGGCACTCACTTTCCATGATCTAACAAGATGATTAATACAAATGAGTTTTAGAGCTACATTAGTATCCTATATTGGTAAATCTGGAATAGTTGATGCATTTTCAATGATAATTTTTTTTTTTTTTTTTTTTTTTTTTACAGGACTGGTTGGGCCAGAAAACTTGACAGACTGTTGGTATGGCTGGTAATTGGAGTTACAATGAGAGGAGCAATGTGAGAAGAAGGGCTTTTACAGGTTGTAATAAGATGTTACACTTGGAATGTACAAAATAAAATAGCCTTCACACTGTTACACAATTCTAGGTGTAATATTTATTTGTGGTATTATTGTTAAATAAAATTTAAATTGAATAAAATATAGAATTTTTCTGTGACTTATTTGTTCACATGGTTTGGGTAAGGTTAGGCTGGGATATGGTTCAGTTTGGGGGTTTGAAAGGGTGGTATTGAAACGGTTAGCTTAGAATTGGTACCAATAATAAAACCAGTTTTGGCCCAGTTCAGGGCTAGTTAAGGGTGATTAACTGGCTGAGATTCGGGCCAGTTATGGCCCATGTGTGACCCTTGTATTTAATCCAGTTCTGGGCCACTTCAGCGCCGTCATTCTTTGCGGTACTTGGGCCGAGGATTGGGTTCACATGGTTTGGGTAAGATTAGGGTGGGTTATGGCTCAGTTTTGGGGTTTCTGGTTAAAGGGTGGTGTCGATATGGTTAACGTATGGCTGAGAATTGGTACCAATAATAAAACCTGTTTTGGCCCAATTCAGGGCCAGTTAAGGGTGATTAACTGGCTGAGATTCGGGCCAGTTATGGCCCATGTGTGACCCTTGTCTTTAATCCAGTTCTGGGCCACCTCAGCGCCGTCATTCTTTGCGGTACTTGGGCCGAGGATTGGGTTCATATGGTTTGGGTAAGATTAGGGTGGGTTCCCACATAGCAAAATTTTTCTGGCCCAGCTCCGGCCCACACAATCACTTTTCCCTCGGCCCAAATACCGCAAAGAATGACGGCGCTGAAGTGGCCCAGAACTGGATTAAAGACATGGGTCACACATGGGCCATAACTGGCCCGAATCTCAGCCAGTTAATCAACCTTAACTGGCCCTGAACTGGGCCGAAACAGGTTTTATTATTGGTACTAATTCTCAGCCATAGTTAACCATATCGACACCACCCTTTAACCAGAAACCCCAAAACTGAGCCATAACCCAGCCTAATCTTACCCAAAACCATGTGAACCCAATCCTCGGCCCAAGTACCGCAAAGAATGACGGCGCTGAAGTGGCCCAGAACTGGATTAAAGACAAGGGTCACACATGGGCCATAACTGGCCCGAATCTCAGCCATGTTAATCACCCTTAACTGGCCCTGAACTGGGCCGAAACAGGTTTTATTATTGGTACTAATTCTCAGCCATAGTTAACCATATCGACACCACCCTTTAACCAGAAACCCCAAAACTGAGCCATAACCCAGCGTAATCTTACCCAAAACCATGTGCACCCAATCCTCGGCCCAAGTACCGTACAGAATGACGGCGCTGAAGTGGCCCAGAACTGGATTAAAGACAAGGGTCACACATGGGCCATAACTGGCCCGAATCTCAGCCAGTTAATCACCCTTAACTGGCCCTGAACTGGGCCGAAACAGGTTTTATTACTGGTACCAATTCTTAGCCATTAGTTAACCATATGGACACCATCCTTTAACCAGAAACCCCAAAACTGAGCCATAAGCCAGCCTAATCTTACCCAAACCATGTGAACAAATAAGTCACAGAAAAATTCAATATTTTATTCAATTTAGATGTTATTTAACAATAATACCAAAAAAAAAAAATCAATATTACATCTAGAACTGTGTAAAGGCTATTTTTATTTTGAACATTCAAACAAGTCTAACTTCTTATTACAACCTGTAAAAGTACATATTTCTAAATGTTCAAGCTTACACACTTTAGTAATGCTAAGCCAAAAAAGAAATGAAAGGAAAGCTAGAGTTGTGCAACTGTGTGAACGCTATCTGCGCGAACTAAATGAATCTTAAGGAATCTAGTACTGAAATTTGAACATTATAATCTAATTTAATCTAAACAAAGAGCAAATTAAAACAATTTACACATCAGAATGTGTGTGTGTGGGAGAAAGTGAAGTGGCCTCTTTTCTCTTTAAGCGCTCTCTCCTTCCTCCATCGCGATCAGGAGCAAGCTGAAGCCATCTTTGAACTGTTGATTCTACTTCCTGCTCGGTGGCATGCTGTGTGAGGCGATTTTTTCTCAAAGCAGCTATAAAACAAAATACTAAATTAATAATACAAAATTAACATACATATAGAAACATTCATCCACCTAATGTAAATAAATGTAGGTAACAAATTTAAAAAAGGTTGCTTTGGTTACATTTTATTCAGGAAATGATTGCTTATGTGGCACTATTTATTGACTAACTGGCTTGTCAGACTTTGACAACAGTATTTTGACAAATAAGACCATTTTAGCAAAACCTTAAAAAACATTTATATCTGGAAACTGTGGTGTAAACAGTAACCAATGAACGGTTAAAGTACTGATAATGTAACGCTTTAAAAGCATAATATCTTATTTTCACCAAAAAAACAGTTGCTTACTTTTTGCATTGGTAAATTTAAACTAACATGACCTCCTACAAATATGAAATGCATGTATTAGTAGCATTTTTTATTTACAATAGTATGTACAAATTAGCATGTAAAAAGTATATTACAGTTTTTTTTATTCGCTTTGGTACTATTTTCACAAGGTGTACATTTTCAAAACTCTTAGTGCTAATATCACAACAGATCATCAAAAGTGCACTTTTTTCAAACATTTCATCATGTTTTCAACTGTGTTAGTACAATTCACATAATCACACAGTATCCTTTTCACAACACAAAATAAGTGTTTCATCTACATTGTTGTTTCATTCACAGTAACTGCCTTTCATAAAGCTCTTGCTATAAAACTTTTGATATGCATCTCTTTTTGTTCAGTTTAATACTTTTGTCTATTATTTAATCCAACAGATCTTAATGGTTAATCAATTAATCATTTGGTAAACCTATATATTTTCATTTCAGCAATATACAGTATATGTATTTTGAGAAATACAGAAATAAAATGTGTGTTTGTATGAATATTTAAATTACATGTAACCACACATGATGAATACTCGTTATTATAGCTAATTGATTTCACATAGTGGTAACCACAATTGGCCACTATATACAGTACAGTAAATTATTGTAGAGGATGTCTACATTGATCCTTCACTTGATTACATATATGATGGATATTTGGAAATTATAGATTATGTAAATGTTGGGTACTGTAAGTGTATTGCCTAATGTTACAGTAAAACTGTGTAATCTCTTTTACTACTGTAGCATATTCATTTCAGCACTTCTTCTAAGGCCGATTTGAAACATGTATCTTGCATTGTTTGCTGTTGGATGAACTGATTGTTAAAAGTACTAAACTGAAAGAAGATCATATTGTTGTGTTTCAGTGATTAAACCAAAAGTTCTCATTACATATTACAATAATCTTGTGTTTGAAATAATGATTATGTGGACTGAAAACATGTGCAACTGACTGAAAGCATTACATCAGGTTTTGGAAGAATGACTAGCTGCGTTACAAGTGTGATCAGTTTGGATTTTTGTACTAAGAGTTTTGAAAATGTACACCTTACTTAAAATAGTACCATGCGAATAAAAAAAACTGTATAATTGAAGTACTGGGCATACAAAAAAATGTTTTGGACTGTACAATTTTAAAAAAATGAATTAGACAACAGACTTACCAAGAACAATGTTTCGTAACTGCAAGCTTTTAAAGCTGATCTTCCCATTAACACCACGCATGTTTATATACTTGGCCAGGGAGTTTGTGATTGTTGCAGTCATAATTCTCCAAACTCCATCTCTGGTGTCTGTCCCACCTTTCATTGCCAACAGGTTAATCTGTGAATTAACATTTTATTTTATTAATTGTTCAAATAAAATGGCAATTATAAACTAAAGGGATAGGTCAACCAAAAATGTAAATTCTGCCATAATTTCCTGCTGTCCACTTGTTCCATGCCTGTATAAGTTTCTTTCTTCTGTTGAACACAGCAGTTTTTTTTTAAATGTTGTAAAAGGATTAGTTCACCTCATCAAAATGAAAATTTCCTAATAATTTGATTTACTTACCCCAATGCCATCCAAGATATTCATGACTTTCTTTCCTCAGTAAAAGAGAAATTACGTTTTTCTAGGAAAACATTTTGGGATTTTTTTCCACAGACTGGACTTCAATGTTTACCATCATTTTGTAGTCAGAAAGAATCGATGCAGTTTCAAAGGTCTTTGTAGAGCTTCAACGGGCTGGTGAACGATCACAGCTGAGGATTAGGGGCTTATCTACTGAAACCATCGGCCATTTTAAAAAAATATGTATATTTACACACTTTATAAGCACAATTATTCGTCTTGAGTCGGCATACCAAGCACCAGGAACTACATCATCACTGAAAGGTCACACCCCAAGTCCCGACGGAAGTGCCCATAGATGGAAGTATCGTTTGTAAACTGTGGGGTGTCAAGCTTGACCTTTAATTGATGACGTCGTTCCTGTTGCTTGGTAAAATGGCTCTAGACGAATAATTGCGCTTATAAAGTATATATATATTTTGTTTCAAAGGACCGATGGTTTCGGGAGATCGGCCCCTAATCCTCAGCTGGGATCGTTCACCAGCCCGTTGAAGCTCTACAAAGACCTTTGAAACTGCATCTCTGACTGCAAAATGATGGTAACTATTGAGGTTCAGTATGTGGAGAAAAATCATAAATGTTTTCCTACAAAAAACATAATTTCTCTTCCACTGAGTAAAGAAAGACAGTAAATTATTAGGAGATTTTCAATTTGAGGTGAACAAATCCTTTAACCAGACAGTAGATGGTAACCACTGGCTTCTAATATATATATATATATATATATATATATATATATATATATATTTACCAATGTTACCTTGGACTGTCTGGTTACCAACATTCCTCAAAATGTCTTCTTTGTGTTCATCAAAAGAAACCAACTCATCCAAGTTGTAAATTTTCACTTTTGTTTGAACTTCCTTTAAAAAACAACAACAGAAAAATAATAATATAATATAATAAAGTAAAATATGTGTGTGTGTGTGTGATGTGATCTGGGAAAACCCACCACATGGTGAAATTTGAAATATTACAGGTTTTGAGACCATATTAAAGCTGGGTTCAAGCCCTTTCCAAATCTGTTTTTATTTCTTTTATCATTTTTCTGTAACAGAATTTGTGGGACGACTGGCACTCCCTTTTTTTATTGCCTTTTTTTCACATCACATATTTCAATAATCATCATAGATTAGGTATCATTTGAAAGCTTACGAACTCAAAATTCAACCTGTGAAAACCGTTTTGAAAATGGATGATTAAGAGGCGAGCAAGGTCTTTTAAACGATCAGCTTCAAACTCTGTTGTTGTCTTGTGCTCCACACCACACGATAACGCTGGAAAAAAATAAATAAATAAAAACTTGCGTGCTATTGTAGTTCACCCAGGACCTGACTTTATTCTGTTTTGTTGTTTATTTTTGATAGGTAAACTGTCTTTGTAGTGTTAAGAGAAGGGGTGCTTCTCAATATCCCTCCTCGTCTCCTCGCTCCTCCGTCCTCCCTCCTATGACCCGGAAACCGATCACGCTCAGCCATCTTGAAGGATATCTCAATTCTCTAATTGCACCGTGAGGAGTCGAGGATCGAGGAGTGAGGAGGCTTCCTGAGGAGTCATAAGCGAGGATACACAGGTGCATCCTACGCGAAACTGTTACATTGACTAAACGTGACGCACGTGTCAATTCTCCTCCCCCTTCACATCGGTCACAATCATTTTAATTTGTACTTTACTTTTGCAGTTTATACAAACCACACATCTCAGATATTTCAACAGTATAGCCTATCTTTATTATTATTTATTATGAATTTATAAAAATAACCAAACTTCAACATAAGGGCAGATCCTTTTAGCGCTGCTGATGACACTGTGGAATGACACTCGAGTCATCAAGTATTCCAATGTATATAAAAAAGCTTTTATTCGATTCCTCTGTCCTCCTTTCCTTTCCTCGCTTCCTTCCCTCACGTCCTACAGGGGGTGGAGCTGAGACGCAAGGAAAGGAAGCAAGGAAAGGAAACGAGGATGCACAAATAAGAAATGAGAAGCACCCAAGGAGAGCTATACGGGAGATATTGTGTTTTGCCCCTCCGCTCCGCCTAAGTGTTCTTAAAGAAAAACACCGTCTTTTCAGCTGGCCATTACAAATAGCTATTTTTCTCCACTAAACTAGTGATTTTTCCCAAGATATATTTAGAGATGATAAACAAGATGTTATAGAATAATAATTTAATAAAAATCCAATTTTGACAAAAAACTTATTCAATTTATATTTAGACCTTAATGAAAATGTACCAGCGCGACATCCGAGGGGTTTTCCCATATCGCATCCTTTAGTAAGCAAAACATATATATCTTGAATATAACTGGCTTACCAATTGCTTCTGAAAGTCAGGAAATTTTCTCAATCGCTCCTCCAAGTTTTGGAGAGACTGAAGATCAGCTACTGGCAGTAGGTTTGCTTCAAGGCCTATGTCTTCTTCACTGACAGATTTTAGACCCTGAACTGTCCTATATATTTTCTTCATTTGGTCCATCATTATCTCTTGATTTATGAGAATGTTACGCAGGAGGGCTGAAAAGCAAGAAACTGAAATAAACCCCCTAAGTCTATATGGTACACAATATGTAAAAGTGGTACATGATAGTACACATTTCCAAATAAACAAGTACTTACAAGTATCAAGAACAGCTTGATGTCTTAGTCCTTGTGGCTGGTGGTAAACATTCTCTCTCTGATGTCGATCAGGGGAAGTGCAGCTTCTTTGCAGTGGGTCAGGGGGAAAGTGACTTCTCTGAAAATGGTCAGGGAGAGTATAATCTCTCTCAAACAAGTCAGGAGAAATACAGCTTCTCTGAAGCAGGTCAGGGGAAGCGTCGCTTCTTTGAAACGGGTCAGCATTTGCATGGTTTCTTTGAAGTGGATCAGGGGAAGTGTGGACTTTCTGAAACGGCTCAGCAGTTGAGTGGCTTCTCTGAAGCGGATCAGGGGAAATGCGGCCTCTCTGAAATGAGTCTGAAGTTTTGTGGCCTCTTAGAAGTGGATCAGAGGAAGTCTGGACCTTCTGAAATGGCTCAGCAGTTCCACTATTTCTCTGTCGTGAATCAGGGGAAGCGTGGCATCTCGGAAGCAGGTCAGGTGGAGTGCAATCATTGTCAGACAAGTTGGGAGAGGTACAGCTTGTGTGGAATCTCTGAAGCTGGTTAGGAGCAGTGCGGCTCCTCTCAAGTGGATCAGCAGTTGCATGGTTTCTTCGAGAGTGGTCAGAATGTGTGTGGGTCCTCTTAGGTACATTAGAAGTATGATGACTTTGGGAATTAGGAGGGATATTTGGTAAACTATATAGGGGTTTGAAGAAAGTTAGAACAGAGCATTTTAGGGATTTTCACAAGTTGAATTAATCAATTACCTTACTCAAAATAACAACTTATACTGCTTACAATTTTGTTGGCTTAGATTTGGCCAACACAGACTTCTGAGTAGAACCAGTCTTCTGCATCCTTTGGGGGTCAGAAGAAACTGAGTGAAAGATCTTCGGAGCTCTAGGCAATTCTTCTTTTCTGTTCAGAGAAAGAGAAATAAGCTATATGTTGTGTAAGAAATAAGTAAACCAAAAAAAAAAAAATCAAATTTATGGAAACTTACCTTTTCTTTCCATTATCTTTTGACTGATCAACACTGATTTCATCATCCTCATCTTCTCCAGGAAAAAGAAGGTTCTTTGGCCTAAAGAATCACTTTGTTACTCACATATCTGCCACATTTTACAATACACTGACTAAATATAATCATAAATTACAAATAAAGACAACTTACATTCTTCTTCGTTTGGGTTTAATTGGGGAATCCTCCCCATCTGTTGCAAGGTCTGTGTGTTCGACAGCTTCAGGTAGTTTTAATCTTGCCTCACTGTAACTGTCTACAAAAGGTTAAAATAATCATATATATATATATATTGCCAACGTATCCGAAACATCTTAACACATAATTTATAAAGTAATACTTACTCGATTTAAATATAATTCTGACCCTGTGTGGAGTCCATCCTTCCCCAGGTTGCTCCTTATTTTTTGTGGCTTTTACAACATCCACTTTATTTGGTGGCCACATACATTCATTTTCTTTGACCCAATTGGAAGGCACCACTTCTACTTCATTCGTTTTTTCAAAAATCACAATGTAATACATTATCTAAACAAAATAAAATTGTAATTTAATCATTTGAATGCCTTTTCCAAATAATAGGAACATGTTTGAGTGGATTATGTGAGAAGAGAGACAATTTTTTTTGCGAACTGTAATTGCACACAACATTTACTGCAGATACAAAGAAAGCAACAAAATATAAACTGCAGATTTACTGGACCCATGAACAACTGCATGCTATCCAAAAATGTTTAAGTATAATGTAAATCAATAGCTGCCGTGTGGTTTGTTTAAATGCAGCAAAGGTATAACAACAAACTTGTCATGAAATGGCAGTCTGACATATTTTTGCACACTCTCCACTCTCTGAAAATGTTTCACTGTCAAAGACAAGTTAGAAACCACGAAGATGTCCAACTCTGTAGAGTCAAAAGGGTATTCAAAGAATGATTCCTTGCATCTGTAGTCCCTACCGACAAAATATTCCACTCCCCTATCAACAATAATATTTTCAACCAACACAAACTTGTTCTTTATTTTGATGCAGGAATCTCTATTTGTAGTTTTGATAACTGCACCATCCATGGACAACACTTTAAACTGTTTTGCTTCTCCTGTGAAAAATTGTGGTACTGGCCCTTCAGTATGTTCCGATTTATAATCGTTGGATGCCTGTGCATTAAGATTACAGTTGGAGCTGGCTTCATCAATTTCAGACAACCTGCGGATCACTTGTGTCAAAGGATTTCGTGGGCCTCTAACCAATTTTTTAAGATGACCCAAGAAATTCTCATATGGAAAAGATGAAAATAAATCCAAATTACCATGGATTTTAACATCTTCACAAAGATGGGCCAAACCATGAAAATTGTAAACTAAAAATTCTTGTCCATAAAGCTGACCAAAATGTTCAACAAAAGATACTAAAAGAGAATTGGCCAAATTGTTCATCTTCAAGCAATATTCTGAACTCAGTAATATGTGTACACCAATTGACAAAAGCATGAAATTGTCATATATTTGAGACTTTAACACATCCTTCAGTACAACAGGTCCAGTGTACAGCAGGAACTGACGAAATTCTGAGGCCTTCCACCTATTTTTTTCAGCCAGTGTACGTGGTCTTCTAGTGAACTCAGAAGGAATGTAATCCCTCAAAGAAAGCAGTCTCTCTGAAATCAAGGAAGCTTGACTGCTTGACATACGACAACGCAGGGGTCCAGGAGGACCCATCCACAAATCAAGCAAACGCCTCATTACCCCTAAGCATACTAAGTGCATGTAATCATAAGGGAAACTGGCAATCATGTCAATATTAAGGTCAGCTAAAGGTGAGTGTTCATGGTGGTGTTCTACATCTGTATTTTGTCTAAAGCATTCATCTGTTCTACGCCTTGCACTTAAATCAGGGAATGTCATTCGATGTCCTATACGGACACCAATTTGGTGACACTTGTCACACCCATGGTATGCACAGTGTGATTTCACTCCTTTGACAAAGGCTCGGGCTGGGGTGTCACATACAACAGAGCAGAGGTTCAAAAAGAACCTCTTTCCCTGAAAAACAAACCCACTGCTCAGTGACTTTAATTCACTCACCAGATGTTGCAAATACTCTGACAAAGACTTTGGTTTAGTGTTGCCACAAAAAAGACCAATCAGCACTGGTTTCTCGCTGTACCCCTGCAACATACCAAGAATGGGCCAAAACTGAGTACTACTGCTTTTGAACAGGGGTAGGCCATCAAAATTCAGCTGTAATTTAAATGCGTGTCTATCTGGGACAACAGACCACATCTTATTCAACAGTCCCTGAAACGAGCTTAGAATTCCAAAGTAGTGAAACATTCCTCCTGATAGAGTTTCTATTTTGTATGCCGTTTTTGTTTTAAGTAATGTTCGTCCATCTTTTGGCAGAGAGGGATGGTGAACTTGTAAAATGCAGAGCAGGGCTGATAACGCAATCAGGGGAATGCTAAACTCAGTGGCCCAGTCAGCAAGAGAATCCTTCAAGTCATCAATAGTGTTGCTGCATGCATCACTATGATCCATTTCCTCCTCATCAGACAGAAACCTATCCTTTGGAATCTGTTCATTCTCACTATCTCTGCTGCCCTGAAACTCCTCTTCAAACCATACAGAAGCTTCATCATTGAAACTCTCTGCATAATTTATTTCAAACTCTTGCCTGCCACTCTCACTATCTATTGACTGTATTAGTTCATCAACTTTTTTTACTGCCCTTCTTCTCACATTGCTACTCTCATTATAGCTCCAATTACCAGCCATACCAATAGTCTGTCAGGTTTCCTTGCCCAAGCACAGTCCTGTACAAAAAAACACACACAAAAAAACAAGATTAACATTGAATACACCTCAACTATTCCAGATTTACCAATATAGGATAGTAATAGCTCAAAAACTCATTTGTATTAATAATATTGTTAGATCATGGAAAGTGAGTGCTTTTAGGACAGAGTTTCCCATCTTTTAAAGTAACTTTAATTTAATTGTTTTTATCAATCAATTTATATCCGCATCTAACGTAAATATTTTATATTTAATTATTTTAACCCTAATTATTAAATTCATATTAAAATTGTATTAAATTAATTTCATAGGATAATACTAGCCACTTGTTCTCCTGGTTCATTTATTTATTTATTTTTTTTGTGATATGATGATCAACTCTTTATTGTCTTTAGAAATAAAATAGCATCCACTCAAACATAGCAACAATAATTTAACAATGGGAAAGGAGGCCAATTGTACCCAGGTTGAGAACTATTGTTTTAGACAACAACAAATAAAATTATGTGATCAATTTCATTCTTTCATTGTAGATATTTTAATAGTACAGTATAATTATTTTTCTCTTTATCGCCTCCGTATATGTAGCACATGGGAATGAGATGACTAGCAAAAAGAAATAAGCAGGCCTCTGAGATCACAAATAAAGAATATGGACCGTGAAACAATGATTAACGTTAATCCATACTTGATTCAACATGACTGATGCAAAATGCTAAAAAAAATTACAATAGCATTCTTGTTTTAAGAATGTTTAGCTAAATCAAAAGTAATCTTTAAGTCAAAGACTAGATTTAGATATCATACAATGTGATTATACAACCAGGGAATCACTTTCAGCTTTATAAGTCAATTGCTGTTGCTGAATTCGCAGTCATTTTCCTATCATTTTAACAGCACGTTACATTTTTTCACACGGAGATTAAGCACCGCGCCTCGAACATTGTGAAGCCTCTCAACATTCCGCAGGCTGGTCTATCGCACCCCGTTCGCGTCTGTATTGGCAGGGGCAGCTGAATCAGCTACAGTACCAGGCAAACGTTAACTTCAATAAAGAAAAAAGTGGCATACGAGTTTGAAATCAGGTAACGTTATTAAAAAAGCGCCAGAAAAGAGAGTGAAATTCACTTACCTATTAGCAGTTGTCTGACAAGTCTTCTTCAACCTTGAACCTTCAGCGGGAGAAATTCAACCGACGCATCACGTGAACCCCATTCATCAACCAATCAGAAAAGCTGCTGTTACCGTGGAGATCGCGCCAATTTGTTTTAAATAAATTGTTATTTAGAAAAAAAAACCATCTTACATATTAAGTTTTTTAAAACGATTTTGTGGTGCTTAAAATAAAAATTATGTATGTATTATATAAATTATGTAGCCTATGTGGATTGTTTTTTTTTCTTTTATTACACATTTATACAAATAAATTCAAATAAATAAAAATACTTAAAAAACTAAATTATTTGGGTTAGTAAACACATATTTTTTAATGATTACTGCATTTTGTGAACATTGCTGAAAACTAAATGCTATATTTTTTTATTAATTATTAATAATTGTTTTTAAACAATTGGACATATATTTTTTAACTAAGTCAATTAATATTATTAATTATTAAAATCTTTACATCTTTTTCAGAAGGGAGGGGGGAATTATAATCTTCCCTTGAAAATATAGTAGTATTCTTTGTAGAACACAAAGTATGGCCCATAATCGCTACACTGATCTGGGCCACACACCTCATGCACAATCGGCCCAAATATTGTGTGCCGTCATGCAGTGCCATCATTGCCACATTTGGCCCACAGTTGGCTGACATGATCTGGGCCACACACCTCCCATCCACAATCGGCCCAAAAGTTGTCTGCCGACATGCATGCAGTGCCATCATTGCCACACTTGGCCCAAAGTTGGCTGACATGATACATGCCAGCAGTGCCATGATGAGGCCACATTTGGGCCAAGTCTGTTTGCTAAAAATCATAGGTCTAATACTTATCATGTTAGTAAATGTATATTTTTTTAATGATACAGCATTTTGTAAACATTGCTGAAAACTAAATACTATATTCATTCATTATAAATCATTTTTTAAACAATTGGACATATATTTTTTCACTGATTTATTTAATATTATTATTATTATTTATTATTAAAATCTTAAGACCTTTTTCAGAGGGGTCGGGGTG